CATCCATCCATCCATCCATCCATCCATCCATCCATCCATCCATCCATACGTACATACGTACATACGTGCATTCGTACATACGTACATACGTACATACATACATAAATACATACATAAAAAGATCCATCCATCCATCCATCCATACGTACATACGTACATACGTACATACATACATACATACATACATACATACAAAGATCCATCCATCCATCCTTCCATCCATCCATCCATCCATCCATCCATCCGTACATACGTACATACGTACATACATACATACATACATACCATACATACATACATAAATACATACATACAAAGATCCATCCATCCATCCATCCATCCATCCATACGTACATACGTGCATACGTGCATACGTACATACGTACATACGTACATACATACATACATACATACATACATACATACATACATACATAAATACAAAGATCCATCCATCCATCCATCCATCTGTAGATGAACAGATGCTGAGATATATTCATCAATTAAAACGGATTATCTCATTTTTCTGGACTGTATATAACGTGCATTGAATTTAATAAAATGTAACGTGAGACGTTATTTATCTTTGACCCATCAAAATGGATGTGGCCATTTATTTACAGAATCAAAGTTTAACATCAAACATTTACATTAATTTGGCAAAATATGAAAATAACAACATAATTAATCAGCTTTACAGGTAGTGAGTAACAATACGGCGATTGTTTCACTTTTCAGCAGAACAGCAGACATCAATCCACACGGCGGTGGATGAGCACTTTACACAGACATTTCTAAAATATCTGTCAATGATTTCTACTTGATAGAAGAATTTTTAAAGATGGAAATGAAGTTTAAAGGGAGTGAAGTATGGATGAGGGAGAATGTGGTGTGTATGAGTGAAAAGTGTTGACAGGACGACACCCTCCATCCGACCCAGCTTTCCTCGGTACGCTCAGTAGTGGACTAGACTCATTTACCTCTCTGACGATGAATCAGAAGAAGAGGAGCTCCAGTTAACGCTACCTTTCAGCGTCTCCGTAGGATGGCAGAGATACATCCGGAGTGGTGACGGGACTTCGTCAACAACAGTTCACCTCACCGGGTGGACTTCACATGAGTGGGGTTCTTCAGAAGTTCCACTCAGAGGTGGAAGATGTTATAATCCAAACTCGGAAGAGCCTTATCATGGCTGGACTTCTGTTCTCCCAAACGACTGGAGCTGCAAACTCTCCAGCCCGACTCCAACGGCAACTCACAGAACAACGACTTCACAGAACTGCGAACATCTCAGAACTGGGCTTCACAGAACTGGGAGAACTAGGAAGTACCGACATTTTAAAGGGCTCTATTCCCGGTTCATTTGAGAGTTTCTGATTGGTCAATATCAACCAGACAGGGGTGTGTTTTGTGATGTAAGGTGTTATGGAAAGTCAGAAACCAGCAAGAATGTTATGGAACAGATTGAAAATGTTTCCCAGACAGGAGAGAGAAATGTTTGGGCGAGTTTGGAGAAACAGGTGCCAACTTCTCTGTTTACGTCTGAGAGGATTTAAAAACAAGACAGTTGTTCCAACACTTGTCTGCTTCGACTCCTGACCTTGGAAAACGTACACTGCTCATTCAAAGACAGAAATCAGAAAATGCATAATTACTCTGTAACAGGCCTTAACATGAATTCTACTTTGCATAAGCAACTAAAAATCATTGTTACTGTTTCACAGTTAATAAAAATTGATTAGTTCACTGTAACATCTAAAATGTTTGAACTAAAACATTTTGATTATCAAACATTTGTAAAACAGTAATGATAATAGAAAAGAGAGTGTTCTTTCACTTGAATTTTCAAGAAAGAAAGTCTCAGGATGGGTGAACCTGTATTTCTGGATTCAAATCAATGAAATGACAGTTTCTGTCCCACAAGGTTCTTAAGGTCAAGGGTTTTGACCTTAGGCTTAGTTTTGACATCAGGTCAAGTTCACTACAGTCCATACGTACATACGTACA